GAGGAAGGGAGAATGGACAAGACTGAGATGGGGGCAGAAAGGGTGACACTTGCACGGGATGGGCAGTAGTATCTGTTCCATCCATAATGCATTTCACTGTAGAGGGTGGAGTATATTTCTGACTCACTACTCTCTGCTGTCAGAAAACTTCAGTGAAACCTGTTAGGAAAATATCCCACCCCTTTCTCATGCTAGTCCACATAGAGGATGACATCCCACTACTGCCGTCAGTTCCTTCTTTCGTTAGTTTAAATGGTGAATGTCTGAGTAAAGGTTCCAGCCCCACTGATGAGCCACAGGGTGTTAATCTGATGCCACATGCTGGAATGGTTGGGCTTTTTTCAGTTTTGTTTTTCATCAACCTAGGAAATTGCACACCCAATTATCTAAGTTAGAAGAGTATTATTAAGATTCCAAAGTCAAGTGCTCTAAAGATAGGAAATGTCAGAATTAAAGCTGTCTGCGCAACCCTAATTCCGCCTTTTGTGTATGCACTATGAGACAGTCTTTAATTACTTGATTACTTAGGTTTTTTCCCCCCCATAAGACTATGCTTTAAGTGCACAAGAAGGATCATGCTTCAAGGATGAATCAGGATTGTGTGTTGAAAGAAACTGTAGGATTCTGCTCCATTTGTTGAAGTAGAAAGGTATATACTTGAATACATAGAGCAGGGGTTGGCAGTCTATGGTACGTAGGCCAAATTCAATTGAGAAGTGCTTGGAACTGGCCTGCAGTAGCATGGAAGAGTGTTGGTGAGCAGTTGGTTCAGCACATCTTCCATCTTTGCCCTTCAGTGTGCCACTGATGTACCGTCGTACATACCCTACCGCATATGCCACGCTGTGCAGCCCTCCCCACTGCTATTGGGCAGGGGGATTAGTGATGCATGATGTGGGTGACAGCAGGCAGCCTGGAGCTGGCCACTATGGAAGAGGCTGCTAGGAGGGGAATGGCAGCCCACCAATGGCCAGGTTGCAATTGATGGCCCACTGATCTGAAAGTTTGCTGACCTCTGATGTATAGTACTAGTCTCGTGGTCAAGGCAGTTGAACGACTCCTGTCAAGCCACTTAAACTCTTCATAGGTGACCACAAATTGCCCATTCCTTATTTTCTGCTTGCCTGACCTAAGACACTAGAGCCCGATTTGTGCAATTTCTGAGTGTCCACAATAATGGGACCTCCATAAAGTAATGGGAGTCATACTTTCAACATATACACAGCTGCATAATGCTCATTACTCAGAAGAATCAGGAATTGGGGCCTCAAACTGAGCACCCTAAATTAGTGTGTATTGTTTCTTTGTCTGTACTTTGTTCCCTGTTTGTGAGATGGAGATCTCAGAGGGGAGTGAAATAATCTTCAGTTCTATTAGTGAAACACTCTCACATCGTCATGATGAACACCATAGAAAGGCTCCTGAGGTAAATAATAATGATGTAATTAGAGCAGCGCTTGAAAGGTATGCAGTAAATAACACCCGAGGCCATGCATTGGACATCTTGAGCACTGAGTGAGCCAGGGGCCTGCTGGGAAAAAAACCATGTGATTGTATAATTAAAGACTGTCCCATAATGCATGCATATGAGGGGGCAGTGACAACCTTTTTTGCTTTTCTTAACTTCTGAGTGCTTGACCAGAACCTTATCAATGGGTTTTTTTGTTTCTTTTGGGGGTTTTTGTGTGTTTTTTGCATATAATCCAGGGGTTCTCAAACTGTGGGTCGTGTTCCCCTAGTGGGTCGTGAGCAACTTAAAAGGGGGTCACAAACTTCCTTAAAAGGGGGCTGCAAACTACCTCCTGGGGTTACTTGGGAAAGCCCCAGGGGGTACTCGGCAGCAACATGGAGAAGCAAGGGGCAGGGATGGCACTGCCATCCAGCACTTTGCACCGCTTCCACTTCTGCATGCCCCCAGTGCTTCCTGTTTGGCCACTACGCTCCGCATGGGCTTGAGGGGGACCCCTTCTCCTCCTATGCTTGTCAACCGGCCACCAGCAGACTCCCTGCTTCTTGACCGGCTGCCGGAGTACACCAATCAAAAAAGGTTGAAAACCCCTGGCTTTAATCAATAGCTTTAATCATGGAGGCGGGGGGGGGGG